TGCTCTGATTTCAAGCATTTGATGACCAATGTTTGCAAAACTAGCACAAGGAATACAAAACAGAAACTGGCAAACTCAGTCATCCAATTCATAAGACACAACACACACTTGTTAAGATGTATATCCTAAAAATGAGGACATGCAGTAGGTTTTAAGGTTCAGTTTTAAGATAAAGTAAGCCTTGTTAACAGGCCGAGGTACGGACTGTTGGCAACTCAGCCTGTAGGGCCACCATCATTGCCCTCTCAAAGTCTGTAACGACTCAAGTTGGCGTCCTACCTAGATAGATAGAGACACAATATTCTTAATTTTTACAAAACAGTAGGCCTGTAGGATGACCTTGCAGACATGTAGACAGAAAGACACACACACGCAAGCACGCACGCACACACACACACACCTTTGTCCAGTTAATCTGTGAATCCTCCTCTTCACATGCCGGGGGACAGCACGATAAATTGCCTCCGTCTTTCCAGACATGAGGATCATGACAAAAGGGATGGCCCTTTCCATGTAAAGGCCATGGATGGTCACCAGTTGATAAAACTGCCTAGAGCATGTTTTAAATGTGTCATCCATAAAGATCTGAACCAAAATACAAATCAAAAGTAAGATAATATTCTGTTTACATTGATCAGGATGGAGGTGCTTTTGAGAAAATTTTGTGTCTTTATTATTCAATCAATCAAAAAAGATTTGTAACAAAAAAAGATATTTGAGACCAAAAAAAAAAAAAAAAAAGAGAAAGTGGCAATAAAAAAATCAATCAATTAAAATAGATTTGAGATTAAAAAAAGAACAAGTGTCAGTCCAAAACGGAAATGGAAATAATTTGAGACCATATTGATTGAATTTCAGTCAAAACTTTTATTTTTAATTAAAAACATGTCACTCTTTTCCGTTTCAAGTTAAAATCTTTTGCTTGAAAATCAGTCCTCTTTGCTTGCTAATTCCAAAATTTTGCTCTTATTATTCTAAAGTTTTGTTTGTGAATTTAACTGAACCAAAATTATGTAAAAACACTAACCTGGCGGCACTTAGACAGCTTGTCTAAGTTGTCTTTAGTTGCAAAGACAAGAGGATTGTGGAAACGGTGGTGCTTTGAAAGGAAGTCCTCTCCATCCCAGCTCTCGGCCCGCTCCCCCTCCACAGCCACCTCCTGAAGAGTGGTTGGAATGGGAGGCATAAGATTGGCCCTCTTCCTCTCCAGCCTCGACCTTACAGCCTTAAAGGGGGGCATAGCTGCCAAGTCAGCTGCTCGGACCAAGACCTATTTAATGATAAGACCATTCTTAATATGTAGCAACTCTTAGCTGAATGGAAAGCACTCCGTGCCATGGGAGCATCGATCAGCATGAGGAGGGGGACAGTGTTGGTGGGATTTATATTAAAAACATTAAAGGCAGGCGCGTTCATGTTTGGGGGGCGGGGCTGTTATGACTTATTACCTGGTCATACACCCGTTTCGATGGTTGAGATGAGTCAGCAGACACCTGTTGCAGCATCCCATCAATCAGTGCTGTGGTTGCCACCAGTTCATCTTCTGCTGCATGGCGGTGCTGTCCGGGTCCACTGAGGATGACGATTTCAGGAGCGTCTGATTCTAAATCAAAGTTGTTGGTGGCCACAAATACACCACATGTTTTATTTCCGCAACGCCATTATATTTTCTCCCCCCGGCATTTATTTCGCAGATCGCGAAAGTCCTCCAAAATCAGTGCTTTACCGCCCGACTGTTTGCGATCTGAATGTACGCCATTCTGTGCACCTGCCGGCTAGCTAGATTGGCGCACTAACTCTATGCGTGCTAACCAGCTTACGGAGCCCCACATGGGACAAAGATTGCAGAATTGCCTTTTTTCATAAGCAACAGGTGTCTTGTTCATACATTTTATAGTTCAGCACCGTGGATAGCGCTGAGTCAGTGACCGATGCACAGAGCGTTTTACAAGAGTTGTAAACTAACGATAAAAATTGTAACATATCATATTCAACCTATAAAAAAAGACAATCTGTTGAAATAAGATGATGAATAAACAAACAGTGTTAGTAAGGTTACGAGAAGCAATCTCATAATTAGTGTAAATGCTGAGAGCATTCACACTGTTAAATCTATTTTTTTGAAGTGTGAATGCTCTACCAAAATCCTTTTGTGTATTTTTATATATTATAGGTGTTGTGTACATTTTTTGGTTCATCATAACTTCACCATTCCTTGGGCTACACAAAACTCTGGACATTATTGGAAAATTTGAATAATTCTGATATCTTTTATAGATTTTGAATTAATCAGCTTTTTGATGCAAAAATAAAAAAAAATCCCACTCTAAGTCAATGGGGCTTCCTCACATTCTCACTTTTCTTTGTGATTCTGTAGATTCCACATACTTTGGGATTCAGAAATCATTCAAATTCTGAAATGTTCATGTATTTGTCTACTTTTCAGAATTCTTTAAATTATTCTTTTATTCTTTATCATTCTTGAGTTATAGCTAATAAATTCTGTCAAAATTCACAATGAATCTAAGCCTATTCCTATTAAGAATTTTCTAAATTCTTCATGATTCTTTGTGATTCTGCAGATCCAGTATACTTTGGAATTCAGAAACCAACACCAGGAAAAGTCCCGTCCCATTGGCTCTGCTCACTGCGCTGTTGAGCCAGTGCTGAAGAGCACTGCCGGTGACTCAAACACAGAGACACATGGATATAGTGATTTAAACGTCAATGTAAATAAATCCTCTAATATATTACAACGTGCCATAATCGAAGCAGAACAAACGCCCGATCAATTCCTGCGCCACACTGCCATGGAGCCCTCTGCGCGGGGCGCGCCCAGCTACGCTCGGGATTAAATGACGCGCCGCGCATCAATGCGACTTGGAGACCCCAGATGTGGACTCCAGATGTGAATGTGCCCCCCTTTCCCCTTATATGGAAAGCTGCGTCGGAATGGTAAGACGTTTAGGTGTTGGAGTAGCAGGATGTCGGAATGCTGAGATGTCAGAATGGCGGGATGTCGGAGTAGCAGCATGTAATCCAGATATCCACTTGCAGACCCGTTTTCAAAAAAGATGCAGAGTCATGGACAAATACGCTTCTCTGTGTGTCAATATCACCAGATTGATAGTTTATTTTACCGGTGTCTTACAAATTCGTACTCGTGTAAAGACCACCTTAGTATATTTCACTTATTTTGAGGCTGTAAAGAAGTTACTCTTTAAGTTATCTCATCTTATAACCACCGTAACAGGGTGGTGCAGCAGGTAGCGTACATGTCTTGTTTCAAGAAGGTCATTGGTTTGATCCCGGGGTCAGGCAGGGCCTTTTCTGTGTTAAGTTTACATGTTCTTCCTGTGCATGCAGGGGTTCTTTCTGGGCACTCTGGCTTCCCACAGACCAAAAACATGCTCATTAGGTTAACTGGTGACTCTAAATTGTCCCTAGGTATGAGTGTGAGTGTGACTGGTTGTCTGTCTCTGTACGTGGCCCTGTAATTGACTGGTGACCAATTCAGAGTATACCCCGCCTCTCACCCAATGACAGCTGGGATAGGCTCCACCCTACCTGCGACCCCGAAAGTGCTAAGCGGTATAGAAAGTGGATGGATGGATGGATATATCTTTAAAAAAGCATTTTCTCCTTACCTTATACTTATATTTAGTACATTTAACTTATTTTAGGGCTGTAAAAAATAAATTTCAAGTAATCTGATCTTAAAACATGCATTTTATACTTATTTTATGCTTATATTTAGCACATTTAACTTATGTTTAGGGTTGTTAAAGTCAAATTTCAAGTAATCTGATCTTAAAACAACAATTTTATACTTCTTTTATGCTTATATTTAGTATAATTAACTTTCTGGGGGGCTATAATAGCTAAATTTTGAGTAATCTGATTTTAAAACCAGCATTGTTGGCTTACTTTAAGCCTCTCAAGAAATCTTGTCAAGTTAAATTATCTTGCTGCATGGACAGATAAATTCACTTGTTTTTAGTACCTTTTCCCTCAGATCTAGTGTTTTTATCTTGTTTTCAGACCCCCCTTTTTTGCAGTGTGTGCTGTTCTGGATCTCCCTTACTTGGTTTGCGAAGAAGGTGTTATAGCCATAACTCTCCTGCTGTATTGTGCCCAGGCTCTCCACTTTGATTTGGCAGTGTTTCTTAAAGTAGCCCTTCAACCTGGCTGCAAAGACTGCTCTGCACATCTCTGCCCTCACAGGGTCACCCTTGTGGTTGAGAGGGGTCAGCTTGGCTTCACGACGACATCATGGCTGCAGCTCCAGCGTAAGTACAGCACAGGGCTGTCTGCATGCTCGCTGCCGTCAGAAAAGATAATGCCAGTTGGTCTTGCACATGCATCTGAGTTGGCTCAGGTCAGCATCCTAAGTGTCTTTCACGCAGTACATTACTTTTGCTTCTTGAAAGCTCTTTGGATCAGGATGGCCCTCTTTGCTTTGCAGGACCCACAAGACTGAGTGGATCATAGAGACCAGAGACTTGGATTAACAGTTCTCTTCCGGTGAGTGGGTCTGGGGTTTGACCTCTTACTTCTTCTCTCATCAAGTCCTGACCAAGGCACCTTTTCTTTCTTCAAGTTCACTCCAACCATGACATGTAGCTTGTCATCTTCAATGGTGTAACCTAGGCCAAGGGCTTTGTTATCCTTTTTAGTGAGCTGGTTTGGCAGGATAATCGTCTTTGACTCCATGTTCTCATTTCTTGGCTCTTTTCTCCCACTTTGATCAGAGTAGATCCAGTGCTTCATGAAGAATCCTCCAGCTCTAAGGATCTGCTCTAAGAATTCTCATGTCGGATGTGGTCGAGGTTTTCGTGAAAGGTTAGGTTGTTATCGACGTAGGCATCTTCCTCCAGCACAGGTTTGTCTTCTTTAAAGTGTCTGAATGGAGGCAAGTTGGCAGTCTTTAGCATGGCAACTTGAACTATGCAACCAGCAAGTTTGTCTCTGATGTTGACTCTTGTTACGGCAAAATCTTCCATTGCAGCATCCTCGGTGTCATGCCACAGGAACCTGTGCAGATGGACCACTCTCACTCCCAACCAGACAGAGTTGTAAATTTTGCGGATGTCAACAAGGGCAGCAACAGGAATCAAGCAGGTGAAAAACCAGGTGAAAAACCAGGTTATAGAAGATAAATCCATGTAAACTAATTCATCATTTCAAAACAAGGCAAAAGTACATTTCAATAAACATCCGCTTAGGGGAAGCATAAATTTCCCAATTAGAACCATTTACTTGAAATTAACTTTGTTTTTGTTTTTTATTTAACCTGAGTTTTATACTGTTTCAGACATGAAACATTTATACTTTAAATTTTCACTACACTCTAATATTTTTAAAATAACATGAAATATTTTTTTAACTAACAACAAATCAACTAACTAACTAAATCAAATATTTAATCCTGTTTTAGTGAAGGCTTTAACATTGCTATTTGAAACAGAAATACTCTATTTATATATAATTCACATTTTAAAAAAGCAGAATGTTTTAACCAATATTATCTATATTAATCAACTTAACCTCTTAAAAAAGGTCTAAATCATTGCTTCAAAATTGAAAACAGTCTTTATAAAAGGAAACAATAGATCCTTTTCCCTTTTTTTTTCAAAAGAGAGTCCGGCGATGAGGCATCTTACCAGTAGCCCTTTTTGGTTTTAAGTCCTTTTCCCATGCCTGTTTTAGTGCTCAGTGCCTGGTTTTGCCGTCCTCCTCTCGCTTTTACCTCAGCCAAATGACTAGTGTTCTGCTCTGTTGTCCAAAGACCACAGTGTGTGCTGCTAATTACTTGAGTTTTTTTTTTTTTCACCTGCGCCGCACACCAAGCAGCTCGCACCGTGTTTCCTTTTTTTTTTTTTTAATTGAGCGAGTCATGTTTGTCAAAATAAAAGCATAATAAACAATCACTTCCTCAATAAAGTTTCTGTCATGTGAAATGTGGCAGACTAAGTCATAGCCATACCAGACCCTTCCAAATCAACAGGTGTGAACAGGAGGCTTTGGTCCAGCTGTAGATTTAGAAGGTCAGTGGGTCAAACCACACATGCCCAAGTGTCCCCTCCTACCCCTGCTGGTTGTGTCCAGCAATGTGTGAATGGGATTAGTCAAAAACTGATGGGCTCCATTGAAAACAGCCTCTGCTGTAAGCATGTGAATAGGGGACTGTCACGTAGGATGAAATGTACAAGTGACTTGAGTGGTCAGAAAACTCAAGAAAGCACTACACAGCCTCCTCACCATTAACAATATGTAATCTCTCCAGGGATTAAAGTTAGGTTAACATTCACTTTACACCTCTTCTCTGCCGTAAGAAAAAAATAAAAATAAAAAAGGGCTTGATCTTAACCACTTGCACCCGGTGCCCACCCATGGGCGGGCAAGACCATGGCATGAGCCTCTTCCGGTCATCTCCAGCCTCTAGCTCCACAAGGGCGAGACAAAATAACAGATTTTTCTCTGATTTCACTACAGGGGGGTTAGAGCATGTCTAAAATGCTGTGTTTGAATATTTCACAGACCTATATTTATAATTTTTAAGATTTTAAACACTTTATGCACATTTTAAACACGCTGCGGACATGAGTGACTCCAGTAGAAAAGAGGAAGCTGGAGAAGCCGTCAGGTAACTCCACCCCACTAACATCCTCCTCTTTCAAATGAGACCAGTCTTACCTCACTACGTTATTTAAATACCCTTCCAGTTTTACAATGGTAAGCAGGTAAAGATGTATTCCATTTTCATTATTTTTTTCGCGGTGAAATTTGCCGGTAAACTTTGTCTTCAGTCTTTTTTTTCCATAAAGTTCCCCACAAGCTAACACAACAAACATTTCCTTCTGATTGAACCACAAAAATGCCTGTCAAGCTGACAGACATTTCAGTCTGGCCAACCATAGCCCAAAGTTCACTGTCTGTACCTGCCCATCTATTGTATACAGCAATTGGATGAATCAATTCAGGTTTGACTGTAGTCAATTCATTCTGCCAATATGAGGCTCTCAGATGAGGGGTTGATCCAGGTAATCTCCACCGATTGGCTGAGATACATGCCTGCGCAGCCTTGCAGCGCAAAGCCAAGTAGCTACAGCGATGCTAAATGCTAATGCTCAGGACCATACAGACAATGGACGGGACGCACGGGACAGCGAGTTGACTCACGTGTTTTGATGTTGTAACCATGAGTAGCGCCACAGCCATCGTTAAAAAAGCCAGACGGCTGTTAGTGTTTATGATACCTGATTAACGTCCCATATGTCCAAGATCATAGTTTTATGAACTATATCAAAGTCATAACAAGACATGATAGATAGAAATAAATATCAATAAATAAACAACAGAGATTGTTATAAATAGAACAATATGCAAGGCACCTGAGCTTTACTCCAGATTTCATAAATATTTCAAAATCATCTCCTGTGTTTATGATTATTCATGTCTTTTGTATTTTTATCCATTAGATAAAACTGCCTTGTGCTGTGCACAATGGTAGAAAATATTATTACATACAACATACATGATTTAGAACCACCTAAAATTGTGAGGTAGTCCTTGTGGAAAAGAAATAATCATTATTTCTATGACACCAAACTTGGAAGGATTGCAGGTTAGATGTTGTAGAGCAGATCCAATTAATAAAATGCCTTCTCACATTGGTTTTACTTATACCTTTTACAATAAAATTACTTTTTTTTTTTTCTAGACGGAGATAAAATTTTGATTTTTTTCTGTAGTTTATCTGATATCATTCTAGCATTACAAAGGTCACAGCCATTTTTTCACATGATTTAGATTCAATAATATATCACCTTTTTATAGACACCAAGATTGTGGATCTAGGCCCTACAGTTGATGAGCTATTACTGATTTACTTTGGGTATGTAATTTCAGGCGGAAATAACCCTGAAATAGCTCAGGGGCCAAGTGAATTCAACCAAAACACCGTATTTGGAGATCTGAGCAAAATAAAATCTTTAAGCAGTGCTGTGGCTGCTAAATGCTGATCTTGGACTAATATTGAAGTCTAAAGTAGCTAGCATGTAAATAAGTGCACATTGGACAACATTTAGTGAGCACTGATAAGAGTCAGGAGCTTATAGCTGCTCTGATGATAAGAAGGTCAGCAGACACTGTACACTCAGAATAAAACACACGACTGAAGTGAAAAAAGAATGTCTGTGTTGTAAACGAGAGGATAAGTGAAAGAGATGATCAGATGACCAAAATGGACTGTTGTATCTCATCTTACATAGGTGGCAAACAAATACTCTTTCACAGGAGTATTTCTGGAGACATGAATTAATCCCTTCGACCCTCTTCCACTTCCCAGCACTTTTAGACCACATCTTGTCCTGCAAAGTGCTTAGTATATGTACTTGTTTGCACACACATTGGTGTGTGTGTGGTGTAGTGGGGGCCATTATAGAGTTGCTATTTTAAATGCTATAAAAACTTGCAGAGGAAAATGACTGGGGTTGAATTACTCCAATGAGCCACCGATCAATCTTTGCTTTTTTACTTCCATCCTCCCACCAAGTTCATTTCACTTTGTTGAAACACGCAGAGAAAACCACATATTGGGTAACATAGAGCCATTTAGAAAGCAATTTAAGGTACTACACAGATTGCAGGGCCAGTGATGGAGTGTTGCCTCTTAATTATACTGTATCACCGTTGCAGAAAAGCTCTCAGATGTGACTTGTTGCTGTCTAGGAGAGTGGGAGATGGAGTAAGAGATGACTCAGACATAATGATAGATCTGGCTGTAATTCTTTTGAAAATGTTAGAATTCAAGTCACCTTTCCAGTATATTCATAAGAGAGCACACAGTTTTATATGCTGATTTTTGGAGATAAAAGCTTGCTGATGGTTATTGCATCAGTATATCACGTGAAGCATATCTGTACTGTGCATATGCCTGTACAGATTTAATAGGGTTAGGTTCAAATTTGGGAAATGGTTAGATAGATGACAGACTGATGTTATTCTCACATTACTTCAAAAATTAAAGCTCTCATGGGAAATAATAACAAAAACTACCCTCTTAAGCTCACAAATAATCACTTACTGTTCTTTCTGTTTAATATGTCTCCAATAAAAAGTGTTGAACTAATATTTATTACATTTACCTGCACCAGTTTTAGAGCTATGAGTGTTACATCCCTGCTAACATTAGACTGTCAAAAAGAGAAAGATTATGTGAGGTATCAAGCAACCCTGTCCACATAGTTTTTTGTTTATTTATTCGTTTATTTTATTTAACCATCATTTAGCCAGGTTAGTCCCATTGAGATTAGAAATCTCTTTTTCAAAGTAGACCTGGCCAACACATATACAGTAAATACATTCATCACAGCATACATGGATCAATTCATCAAATAGACACTCTGCCAAGCAGAGTTTGATGCGACAGAGATCAACAGACAGCCCGGCAAGGCCACGAGTAAGGGGGAGATGATGTGATGATAATGATTATGGGTGAAGGGAATGTCGACTGTTGGGGGTGAACCCTGGATTAGCTCACCATCAAGTATCAAAACTCTGGGGTAAAAAAACTGGCCTGGGCAACAAAGCCAAAACAAGGTTTAGACTTACAAAATACCATCTTCACAAAAACACTTTACCTTGCAAAACTTCAAACAAATGCCATGCCATTAATCAGCGATGATGATTAACAGGTGGGTAATATTACTCACCAATTCACGCTCTACACATTCTGACGTTATTCGTGTCCGGGTTTTATCAGTCCACCTAGTTCGGGTTGTTTATACGGCAGTTTTAGCAGTTTTGTTCAGTTCTTACGAACTAAATGTAAAAAATTGTGCTCTGTGATCCTTTCCAGTCAGCGTCTTCAACTTACTCTCTCCCTCTTCTGGTTTAAAATCGCTGCATGTGTGCTAGCATTGGCTGGTAGCACTCACACCAGATTTCGACGTGATTTGATAAAACTCCGCTATCATGGCATTTGACTTAGTGTCACAATTTTTACAAAATCAAAATTACAACTAGGGCCCCGTTGGGACACTGGCGGGCCCGAGCTGTGTGGCCCCCCCCCCAACGCGCTGCCTCCCCGTCCCATTCGCGTCCTCTGGCCATCGCCCTCTCTGGTAACGCCCATCACTGCAAAGACCCTTTTCCTTCATCGGTGTTTGCTGTTCTTCCTGCCAGTGCGTGTTGCTTTCACTTACACTTGCAACAGCCAGCCTCGTGAGTGCCTAGCCTATTGGATATCACTGTCACCAACACAGGACAGTCATTACCTTTCTATTAATACTTTGTTTTTAATTTCACATTAATTTCCATATTGTATAAATGACTGGAAAAAACTTGAGCCCCTGCCCCTGTATTATCATGTGCACGTCCCTGTTGTAGCTCCAAGGTGAATCTTCACTGCTCATGTTCTCCTCAGAAGCAGTCACCTCACTCCCCTCAGGTTACTGTACACATGCACCAACTGCCTGTTTCAGGTTTGGATGGAGCTTCATGGTTGTCTTTTGGAGAAATGACCAGTCAAGTTGTGTTTGAAATTTGATTTTTTTCAGGGGCAAAAGGAGCCTCTGCATTCTTGTCAAATATGTAAATAGCATGTTTTTGCAGGTGCTAAAAACCAGACTCTGAGTGTGTGTGTGTGTGTGTGTGTGTGTATGTGTGCGTGTGTGTGTGTGTGTCTGTGTGTGCGTTCAAGTCACATGACATATTTAACCGGATGTAGCTGCAAGACGGAGCCTCGTTGACTCTCCGTTTCAACTTATCTCAAAAGTGAGGACCTCAACCTATATACCAGTTTTTAAATTGTGTTGATAGGCCAAATAAAACCAGAGTTATGATAAATTATGTCCGCGATACTTTTTTTCTGCTTATTTTGATCACGATCGGCGCTCGATCGCGCTGTATGAGACAGGAAAACATAGCATGCAGACATTAGCGACAGGTCTTACAGGCGGAAAAGGCTTGCCAAAAGAAAAAAAAACACACCACAACATCTCTCCTATTGGTGGAAAACTTCACCACAACAACCAATCCAAAATTATATGGTGACTGATTGACAAGGGGCGGGCGCTTACGTTCTTCCTGCAACATGAGAAGGGAGGGAGGGACTCTCAGCAGGGATGCAGTCTGGGACACGTAGTTGCAAACCTAGCGACTTTGTTGTTAGATTCAATGACTTTTCAGACCCCCTAACGACTTTTTTTTAGAAAGAAAGGGACTTTTATCGACTTCTTCTGGAGTTTAGAGACTCTGACATGAAGCAGGCTTTCCTTACTGAGGAGTTAGCAACGCTGCTAAGGGTGCAGAGCCACACATGCGCTCAGAGCTCTGCATGGGAGACTGAAGCTGACAGAGCTGCAGCAGTTAGCAGGTTTCACCCTCAGAGACCACCAGGGGTTCATGTTGAGGCATTTTCAGTTTTTTTTTTTTTTGTGCCATAGACACTGTCAGCACAATCTGCAGTTACACTAACAAAAATGCTGCAAAAAACAAAGAATTATGGAAAAATTACACATGGACTGACATAGAGGAGGATCTACACAAGTTTTTTACATCATGTTTTACATGATGCATCATTTACATCATGTTTTTTTGTAGTGGCATAAATAAAAAGTGACATTTGTGAGACTATACAGTGTTTTGTAAATAATTTTACAAAGAACGCCTGGGCCATTGCCTGCATTTTGATGTAAATAGAGGTAAATCACTATGTTCTTTGTTAAAAATTTGCATATGTTTTGAAGTTTACAATTTTTATTTGAAGTTTAAGTTTTAAAAACAGTTCATCACACATATTTGTGGTTTTCACAGTAAAAATGTTACTTTTTTCCACTCGGATTTTATGTTTTGTGTGTGAATTTGGGTCCATTGTGTAAATTCAGTATGTCAACATGATAAAATAACTGTAAATTCGCACAGGTGAGGTTGTGCTGAAAAAAATGATACCAGGCAAGGCACGTGATTGTCAAATTTTGTGTCAATATGACAAAGCGTATAGGCGTGAATCTCAACAATATGTATTTTCACCTTAGGGGACAAGAAAAAATGGACTTTTTTCTCCTGCCATGGGGGGCGCTCTTTTGGGGAGTAAAAATTCCTTCACAAATGTGTTGATGGCTGGACATTGCATCATCCTAGAAAACTTGGAGGCCAGTGAGGACAAAAATAAAAAGTTATAAGACTTTTAAATATGTGGATTTTAGGGTTATCTTTGGCGCCCCCTAGAACCTAAACCGTGGGGTGCAGCGTCATGATTTGAATAACTTTTAATGGCCATGGGGTGTAGATTGGCCTGAGCAAATGTGGTGCCGGTGGAACGAAAGCCTTCGGAGGAGTTAGCCACATTCCAATGTGTGCGTATCGGCAAAAAATGCGGAATAACCCTTTAACCGTACATTTGACAGATACGCCCGCACTGACTTTTTCGTAGATCTAATTGAGATACATGTGTGTGTCAATTTTTGTGTCATTTTGCCAAAGCGTAAAGGCGTGACACTCAACAATGTGTATTTTCACCTTAGGGGACAAGAAAAAATGGACTTTTTTCTCCTGCCATGGGGGGGCGCTCTTTTGGGGAGTAAAAATTCCTTCACAAATGTGTTGATGGCTGGACATTGCATCATCCTAGAAAACTTGGAGGCCAGTGAGGACAAAAATAAAAAGTTATAAGACTTTTAAAAATGTGGATTTTAGGGTTATTTTTGGCGCCCCCTAGAACCTAAACCGTGGGGTGCAGCGTCATGATTTGAATAACTTTTAATGGCCATGGGGTGTAGATTGGCCTGAGCAAATGTGGTGCCGGTGGAACGAAAGCCTTCGGAGGAGTTAGCGAAATTCCAATGTGTGCAGATCTGCAAAAAATGCAAAATAACCCATTAACCGTACATTTTGACAGATACGCCCGCACTGACTTTTTTGTAGATCTTATTGAGATACATGTGTGTGTCAATTTTTGTGTCATTTTGACAAAGCGTACAGGCGTGACAGTCAATAGTGTGAATTTTTTTATGGAGCCATTTTGCATTTTCTTGTTTGGGCGACTTCGGAATATCAAATTTTTCACCAGGCCCGGTCGTCCTGCCAAATTTCATGAGTTTTCGCCAGTGGGAAGTGGGCCATTTTCCAGTTCAAAGGGGAGGAAAAAGAAAAAAGAAACAAAGAAAAACCACTTGGGGAATAATAGGGCTCTCGCAGCTGCTTAGCAGCTACGCTCGGGCCCTAACTAGGACCCCGTTGGGGCACTGGCGGGCCCGAGCTGTGTCGCGTCCCCCCCCCAACGCGCTGCCTCCCCGTCCCATTTGTGTCCTCTGGCCATCGCCCTCTTTGGTAACGCCCATCACTGCAAAGACCCTTTTCCTTCATCGGCGTTTGCTGTTCTTCCTGCCAGTGCGTGTTGCTTTCACTTACACTTGCCACAGCCAGCCTCGTGAGTGCCTAGCCTATTGGATATCACTGTCACCTACACAGGACAGTCATTACCTTTCTATTAATACTTTGTTTTTTAATTTCACATTAATTTCCAAATTGTATAAACGACTGGAAAAAACTTGAGCCCCTGCCCCTGTATAATCATGTGCACGTCTCTGTTCTAGCTCTAAGGTAAATCTTCACTGCTCATGTTCTCCTCAGAAGCAGTCACCTCACTCCCCTCAGGTTACTGTACACATGCACCAACTGCCTGCTTCAGGTTTGGATGGAGCTTCATGGTTGTCTTTTGGAGAAATGACCAGTCAAGTTGTGTTTGAAATTTGATTTTTTTCAGGGGCAAAAGGAGCCTCTGCATTCTTGTCAAATATGTAAATAGCATGTTTTTGCAGGTGCTACAAACCAGACTCTGAGTGTGTGTGTGTGCGTGTGTGTGTGTGTCTGTGTGTGTGTGTGTGTGCGTTCAAGTCACATGACATATTTAACCGGATGTAGCTGCAAGACGGAGCCTCGTTGACTCTCCGTTTCAATTTATCTCAAAAGTGAGGACCTCAACCTATATACCAGTTTTTAAATTGTGTTGATAGGCCAAATAAAACCAGAGTCATGATAAATTATGTCCGCGATACTTGTTTTCTGCTTATTTTGATCACGTTCGGCGCTCGATCGCGCTGTATGAGACAGGAAAACATAGCATGCAGACATTAGCGACAGGTCTTACAGGCGGAAAAGGCTTGCCAAAGGAAAAAAAATACACACCACAACATCTCTCCTATTGGTGGAAAACTTCACCACAACAACCAATCCAAAATTATATGGTGACTGATTGACAAGGGGCGGGAACTTACGTTCTTCCTGCAATATGAGAAGGGAGGGAGGGACTCTCAGCAGGGATGCAGTCTGGGACACGTAGTTGCAAACCTAGCGACTTTGTTGTTAGATTCAATGACTTTTCAGACCCCCTAACGACTTTTTTTAGAAAGAAAGTGACTTTTATCGACTTCTTCTGGAGTTTAGAGACTCTGACATGAAGCAGGCTTTCCTTACTGAGGAGTTAGCAACGCTGCTAAGGGTGCAGAGCCACACATGCGCTCCGAGCTCTGCATGGGAGACTGAAGCTGACAGAGCTGCAGCAGTTAGCAGGTTTCACCCTCAGAGACCACCAGGGGTTCATGTTGAGGCATTTTCAGTTTTTTTTTTTTTTTTTTTTGCCATAGACACTGTCAGCACAATCTGCAGTTACACTAACAAAAATGCTGCAAAAAACAAAGAATTATGGAAAAATTACACATGGACTAACATAGAGGAGGATCTACACAAGTTTTTTACATCATGTTTTACATCATGCATCATTTACATCATGTTTTTTTGTAGTGGCATAAATAAAAAGTGACATTTGTGAGACTATACAGTGTTTTGTAAATAATTTTACAAAGAACACCTGGGCCATTGCCTGCATTTTGATGTCAATAGAGGTAAATTACTATGTTCTTTGTTAAAAATTTGCATATGTTTTGAAGTTTACAATTTTTATTTGAAGTTTAAGTTTTAAAAACAGTTCATCACACATATTTGTGGTTTTCACAGTAAAAACGTTACTTTTTTCCACTCGGATTTTATGTTTTGTGTGTGAATTTGGGTCCAATGTGTAAATATAGTATGTCAAAATGATAAAATAACTGTAAATTGACACAGGTGAGGTTGTGCTGAAAAAAATGATACCAGGCAAGGCAAGGTAAAAATTTTGTAAGAGGAAATATAAAGGTAAAATCTAAAGTAGTCAAAAACGGCCAATAGTGACTCACAGACTCCACAGACAAGTCCCTTTGGCGCCACTCAGTGGGCAAAACTACTTTGTCTACTGTAATGTATATTTGGGTCATCTTTGGCGCCCCCTAAAACGTAAACCGTGGGGTGCAGCGTCATGATTTTTACAACTTTGAATGGCCATGGAGTGTAGATTGGCCTGAGCAAATTTGGTGTCAGTGGGACGAAAGCCTTAGGAGGAGTTAGCGAAATTCCAATGTGTGCGAATCGGCAAAAAATGCAAAATAGCCCTTTTACCGTACATTATACAGATACGCGCTCTTTGACTTTTTCGTAGATCTAATTGAGATACACATGATTGTCAATTTTTGTGTCATTTTGCCAAAGCGTACAGGCGTGACAGTCAACAATGTGTATTTTCACCTTAGGGGACAAGAAAAAATGGACTTTTTTCTCCTGCCATGGGGGGGCGCTCTTTTAGGGAGTAAAAATTCCTTCACAAATGTGTTGATGGCTGGACATTGCATCATCCTAGAAAACTTGGAGGCCAGTGAGGACAAAAATAAAAAGTTATAAGACTTTTAAAAATGTGGATTTTTGGGTTATCTTTGGCGCCCCCTAGAACGTAAACCGTGGGGTGCAGCGTCATGATTTGAATAACTTTTAATGGCCATGGGGTGTAGATTGGCCTGAGCAAATGTGGTGCCGGTGGAACGAAAGCCTTCGGAGGAGTTAGCGAAATTCCAATGTGTGCGGATCGGCAAAAAATGCGAAATAACCCTTTAACCGTACATTAGACAGATACGCGCGCATGGACTTTTTTGTAGATCTTATTGAGATACATGTGTGTGTCAATTTTTGTGTCATTTTGACAAAGCGTACAGGCGTGACAGTCAATAGTGTGAATTTTCACCTTAGGGGACAAGAAAAAATGGACTTTTTTCTCCTGCCATGGGGGGCGCTCTTTTGGGGAGTAAAAATTCCTTCACAAATGTGTTGATGGCTGGACATTGCATCATCCTAGAAAACTTGGAGGCCAGTGAGGGCAAAAATAAAAAGTTATAAGACTTTTAAATATGTGGATTTTAGGGTTATCTTTG